GTCGCAGTACCTCACGACGACGGCGAGGGTAGCGGTCATCAGCTGCTATGTCCTTCCGGTGCTAATGTTTCAGGCGCAGGTGTACTCGCCGCCAGACGAGCTGTGGGAGAAGATAAGAAAGCTCTGTCATGCCTTCGTCTCGGCGGGGGAGGCAGTGGAGGAAAAGGTTTTCATTCTCTGGAGTGCATATCTGGCTTGCCTCCCGCGGAAAGATGGGGGATTGGGCCAACTGGACCCGAAGCTCTGCCTCGACGGGCTGGCTATCCGCAGAATAGGCAAGCTTCTGGGTGAACAAAATGGAGCGCGACGGTGGTTGGCGGAGAAGGCGGCGAGTTTCCCACAAGGGTGGGCGACGCTTCACGCACATCCGTCTGCGATTAAACGGTGGGAGCATGGGAGTGAGAGATGGAAGGCGGCGGTCAAAGTCTTCTGGAAGTCGCCCCTTGCGTCCCTGCCGGAACCTGCGAATAGATGGGAGGTGGAGGGACAGTTCATCTGTTTCAACCGGCACATCATGCACAGAGGAAATAGCCCCTTTGGTCATCAGTTGGGCACGGAGAGTCTCCTCTGCACGCGGTTACGTGACTTGCTTACCGACGGCTTGAGGGGTAGCAGGGTGCTGAAGGATGAAGCGGTACTAACGGTGGAGCTGGGATCCAAGGAGGCGGCGGTCATGGCACGCAAAGCGTATGTGGCCACGCCACCGGAGTGGAAGAAGCTGGTCGAGGAGCCAGTGACACCAGAGGCAGTGGTGGCGGCGTCAGGGGTGGTGAAGTTCATCTTTCGGGGCGAGCTTACAGGGCCTCCGTGGACAGTGAAGGGTTTAGACAAGGGGGGAATCCTTGCCTCATACATGGAGGTCGGCGATGGTGGAACGCTTCTCGCCCCGGCAAGGAACAGGGAGACCTGTTTCGAAGCGTGTAATCTGCAGCCGTTAATCGTCCAAGAGGGAAGGCTGCTGGGACCGGCGGGTGACCCGAAAGTGAAGCTGCTGACCTGCTGTGGGCTGTTCGATGAGGGAGGACTGGCGCCTCTGTGTAAGATACGGGCGACGCTCGCCAAAGCGGTGGGGCGTTCATGGAGGCAGGCGGAGTGGGAAGTGGCGTGGGGCAAGAAGATTGACTGGAAAAGGGCGATCGATACACGTGATTCTATCAGCGTCCCACTCAAGGCGAGGGATGTGCTGCTCCGGATACACAGCAAGAACCTCCAAGTGGGGGGGAGGTTGGATTTTTTCCAGAACAGGATCAGCTGCGCGCACTGTGGGGAGGAGGAAACCCTAGCCCACTGTCTCTACAGTTGCCCGGTCATTCAGCCAGTGATTGGCGCGCTTAAGCGCTCCTTGCGCATGCTGAATCCGGTCAGACAGGTGGACTCGCTGGGTGATTTGCTGTTTGGGGAAGGGGGGACAGCGTCAGGTTTCCCGGAGATGACGTTGACGGCGGCGGTGCTGCGACAGATTTGGCTGGCAAGATGCAATACAGTTTGGAGGGCTGAAGTTTTCGAGCGGAAGAAAGTGGGTCGCGGTGCGGTGCTGGATTTTATGACACATGCGAGGGTGGTGCTGGCAGCACGCGGGAGAGGCAAGGCCACGGGTGAGGTGGCTTGCGGTATGAGAACAGATAGATGGCGACATGTGGCAAAGGATGAGAGGGAACAACTGCAGGGAATCTGCAACGTGGATGGTCCTGCATGCTGGTCGGGTCAATTTCTGTCCATCTGGCGCAACCCGCGCACATGCCACCAGCCACCATAGACCTCCAAGGGGGGATATGCGACATCTCATTGTGGTGTAGCATAGGCCCTCCAGGTATACAGTTACGACTGTGGATGTATCTATGTTTGATAATATAGTTACATTTCCAAAAAAAAAAAAAAAAAAAAAAAACCCCACCTCAACGCGGTGTACGGGTGAAACGCTAGAGGCTTTGCCTCTAGCGGCCAAGAGGGGTCAAGACTCGAGCCTCGAGACTCGAGACTGGAGAACAAGTGGAGCAGCAGCAGCAGAAGATCGTCTTTGTCTACTAGAAGCTGGTTTTCGTCTCTAGTGGAGATCGCTTCCTTGTGTGTGTGAAGTGAAAAAATATGATTTTTTTTCCTTGACCTGTCACGGAATTCAGATTCAAGCACGAACGAACAAAGAGAAAGCACCATTGAAATAGTTGACTAGCAATCTCTTCCTAGGAACGGCGATTATAACTCTCAAGTTCTCTCCATGGAAGCTTCTGCAGTTAGCAAATAACGAATGTAAGAAGACAGCAGTAAGTATTATCTGTCGACGTTCGTATACTCATTACATTTCGAAGAGATTACTATTTTGGCGGACGGCGGTACCTCACTTGTTAGAATGCATGCTCGAGCGGTCACGCAATGTTGTACTTCCGCTCTAAGCCCGATCATCAAAAATGATTTCCGCGTAGATAAGTCTCTGGATCTCGCCCGTTTACAGCTAACCCTAGAAACGACATGTCCGCGTGATGTGCGCTGCTTGCCGAGCGCTCTGATGACTCCATAAGGTCGCCGATGACGTGCTCTCATGGCGAGCTTGGGGAGGTGACGTGCGATAATTTGGAGCATATCAACAATCACAGTTTCCTTAATAATCTTAATGGTATAGCGGAGCACGAATGCAAGTTCAGGCCCCGTTCCCCCCTTTCACTTTCCACCCGCTCCCATCCCCCTTCCCCCTCCCTTCGCAGTACGGACGTCGATTTCTCCTTTGGCCGACTCTCCCTTCTTTCGCGACTGGTAGAAGCATTCCGCTAGGAACGCTATGTCCGTGTGATGCGCGCTGCGGCTGCGACTGGTATCTGAACGCGCCGATCTGATGGCTCCAGTGACGTGCTCTGATGGCGAGCTTGGGGAGGTGAGGAGCGATTCTTTGGAGCATCTTAAATAATCAAAATCAGGCCCCGCCCCCTCCTTACACTTCCCACCCGCTCCCATCCCCCTTCCCCCTCCCTTCGCCGTCACTCCCTCCTTTCGCGATTGGTAGAAAGCATTCTTGCCTCCTCAGTCCGTCGTGCCCTCATCCCTCCCTTGCGCGCATCCCTCCCGTGCGCTGATCCATTTTCCCCCCCTGCGCTCACCCCTCATCCCCCCTGCACTGATCCCTTCTCCTCCCTGCGCTCACCGCTCGTTCCCCCTGCGCTAATCCCTTTTTCCCCCTGCTCTAATACTTTTTCCGCCCTTCGCTCACCTCTTATTCCCCCACAGCTCATCCCTCGCCCCTCCTTGCCGCTCATCCCCACTGCACTTGTCCCGCATTCCCCATGCTCCCATCAATCCCCCCCCCCTTGTGCTCCCTCCTTCTCCCCCTGCGCTCATCCGCTATTCCCCTTGTGTTCATCCCTCATTCCCTCTGCACTCCCTCATTCACCTGTACTCAACCTTTTCCCCTGCTCATCCCCCCCTTCTCACCTCACCCTTCCCCCGTGCCCTCATCCCTTCCCCATTCTCTCGTCCCTTCCCCATTCCCTCATCCCTTCCCCCTGCGCTCATTCCTCCTTTGCCTTGTGCTAGTTTCTCATTCGCTCAGTGTTTATCCCTCCTTCCCTTTGTGCTCAGCTCACCCCTTACCCCTGTGCTCATCCCATCCCCCTGCGCCCATGCCTCCTTTGCCTTGTGTTCATTTCATCTCATCCCATTCTCTCTGTGTTCACCCTCCTTCCCTTTACAGTCATCCCATCCCATCCTCCTGCACTCATCCCCATCTCATTGATAACTGTATATCGGATACCTTGGAGGCATCGGACCCAGTCGCACAAGGTTTGAAGCGAGTTTTTCACGCGTTCAGGCTTCACCATTTGGCAAGACATATACATCGTCCACTCAGCAAGTATGTCAGCTTATCACATGGTCATTTGGTAGAGTTGTGTTGCTGAGGTTGCGTCTACTGGCTTCAGATAGGACTGTGGTCATCTGGCCTGGGTTAGTTGGATGAGGCCACTTCATTTGTTAGTACCGTACCATGTCTTACTGTACTCCCTCTCCCCCCACCGCACACCACCACCACACAACCCCAGTAGGACGGGTGCTCTGTTGGCCCTGTGTTGGTTAGGCTTCCACTCCTAGGGAATTCACTGCTATAGCTGTTTTATGATTAAAATTTGATTGCGATTTCAAACGGGCAGCACTACATAAATTCCTCCATGGAAAAAAACTAATAAGAAGTGGACCAGACCAGAGCCATTGAATTGTACAGTGGGTTTATGCCACAATTTATACATCACAGCATTCCGGTAGCTCACTGTACATGCATAGCACAGCACAGAAATGTCGTCTAGGCCCCCTTATAGCCCCTCTCCTCCACCCTCTCCCTTACCCACCATACCCAACATCCCGATGCTGTAAAAGCATGTATCTGTACCACTAAAACCTTGACTAGTACGTGTAAACGTCCTGTTTTTCAATCGATTCTTCTGAATCCTCCTGCTGAACCTCCACCAGCAAACCTCCTGCTGAACCGTAAGCTCCTGCTGCCGATTACCCTTCAATCTCATCCCCACTCGACTTCTCCGCTTCAAGAGGTTAAGGTCGGCACTAGCGACGTGCTGACGATGTGCACAATCAGCGATCTCCCGACATAGAAATTCGGCCAGAGAACCACCGACGGGATACCCAGACGTCCCATCAGCACAACCATCGGCGAACCCTGCCCGAAAACTTTCGTCACGGTCTGGTCGGGCAGCTGCGTCTTGAATCTCGCCATCCACCCTGCGCTTTGCATGATATCGTACGGGTATAGGCCATCCAACATGTTGTAATTTGCAACGTCTGCTAGTTGTTGCCCGCTCAGCACTGTGAGTGCGCCGGCCCACACAAGTGCATCCATGGGAAAGAGCATTGTGGTCGCGCCTTTACAGCTGAACAACGCAAAGACTGCGGGCAGGAGTTAGGCAGTGGAGGAGGGAGGGCGGGACGGAAGGGGAAGGGAGGGGAAGGGGAGGGGAGGGGAAGGAAGAGGTGGAAGGGGAAGAGAGAAACACAGAGGGCACAGGTTAGATAAGGTAAGGTGCTTGGTCGGGTTGAAAGGAGCATAGGGCAACGCCTGGGGAACGTGGAAAGGTGAAACACATGCACGGCACATGCAGAAGGACCAATGTCGAAACACACACCGGAGGGTCCCTCCCTCCCTCCATGCCTCCCTGTCTCCCTCCCTCTTTTGCTTCCCCTCCCTCCGTCTTTCCCTCCCTCCAACACATCTCCTCGTCGCACCAATCCCTGCGACCAAAAACACTCACAAAACGCCTCGAACGCGGCGCCAAGAAACGCGGCAATCTGGACGAACCCCGTGACGAACCCTTTCAGCGCGAGGATGATCCCCGTGATGCTGATGTCGATGCAGATCCACCCGTTGCACGACTCCGGCTACATGCAGAGGGATCAATGTGCAAACACACACCAACGGACCCTCCCTCCCCTCCCTCCCTCCTTCCCTCCCCCCTCCCTTCCCCCCCCCCTCCCTCCCCCCTCCCTTCCCCCTCCCTCGCCTCTCCCTCCCCCCTCCCTTTCAAAACTTACAAAAGGCCTCGAACGCGGCGGCAAGAAACGCGGCAATCTGGACGAACCCCGTGATGAAGCCCTGAAAGAAGCCCGAGATGAAGCCCTGAAAGAAGATCTGAAAGTTCTGAAAGAACACTTTCAGCGCGAGGATGATCCCCGTGATGCTGATGTCGATGCAGATCCACCCGTTGCACGGCTCCGGCGCCGCCGGCTTCGCCCGCCGAAGCCCGGTTCGGCTGCTGGAAAGGGAAGCCACTGTAGCCGTTGCTCTCAACTGATTCTTGCTGCTGCTATCGCTAGAACCAGAAGCAGAAGCAGAAGCAGAGCTAGAATTATAATCAGAGCCAGTGTCGGAGCTAGAGTTAAAATCAAAGTCAGAGATAAAGCTAGAGTTAGAACCAGAGGCAGAGTTAGAGAAAGAGCTAGAGCCCTTAACGGAAGCAAAGGCCTTGCTGGGAGATAGCATATCTAGAACCTCCTTTATCTCCTGTGCTTGTATCGCGCGGAAAGCCGCCATGTCCGCCGTCGCGTTGAGCTCGGACTTTTTCGGTTGCACCTCCGCGCCGCCTCGGAACAGCCCGGCCTTTTTAAGCACGTCCACTGCGGCCACTACGCGGCGCACGATGCTCGTCAGCGCCTTTTGCGGCTTCGTTATGTTCTTCCCCGTTCTCGACACAATCTCGTTGACGAGTTTCATCGCAGAGGCTTCAAGCGAGATTAGATTTGATTTTGCGTCTAGGATAGCCCGCGAGTCTTTGCCTAACCGCTTCATCGCGTCCCTTGCTCGCCTCGACGAGCTATCGACCGCGTTCTTGACGTCTTGCGAAAAGTCGTTACTCTGCTTCGCGAAAGAGGCGCCGGCGAGGAGGGCGAGGAGGAGAAGGGCGAGGGCCCGTCGCATGGACTCGCAGGAGAGCCGTCTTTGCCGGTGAGTGAACGCCATGGGAGGTGGCTCGCCGCGCGAAAGGCGGGGAAGCAGACAGGAGGGCGGGCAGGCAGGCAGGCACACGAGAACGCAGGTTACACGAGAACAGGGCGGAAGGAAGACCGGCAGCGAGGGGAATAAACGGGAGGTTCGAGTGGGAACGGGCCTGGGCGACAGGACACGAGGAAAAGGAAGAGGAGAAAAGAGTTTCTACAAGTGAAGGAAACTTCTAGGTGCGGTTGAACTGTCAGCTCGCGATCGCGTGGGATGGCTGGGAGGTTAGAGGTGAGACGACTCGAGTCGAGTCGGATGGAGTCAAGGGTAAAGAAGCTGTTAGCTGTTCATAGGAAGTGGTGTTGGCACGAGCTGTGCTAGTTGCGTGTTTTCCGGCCGGAGCAAACGGCGGGCCTTTTCCAACATGAGAGTTGACTGAAGAAACCACTGCACGCTTCTGGTTTTCTCGGCTGATGCGCTGGGGGAGTGGGTCTGGGAGCGTGTACTGTCCACACGTACGGTCTGTGGTAGCGGGTACTTAATACGCTCTCTCTACGTGAACGAGGAAAATAAGTGTGAAGGTTCGGGGGCTGTATGCTTAGAGCAGGCTGAGAAAAATAGGAAACGAGAAAGAAACGGACTGGGTTCACGAATGGAAAAAGCGGCTGTGGGGAAGCAGCAGAGGTGTCACAGGGAGGAGGAATTGGTCTCTTGTGTGCGATGGTGCTGTTGGGCTTGTCAATGGCGCCGAAGGAAGGTAGGAATAGGGGCAACATGTTGGTGAAATGGCGTTTCGAAGTGGGACATCAGTTGGAGGGATGGACGAGGACAACGACGGTGGCGAGGAGCAATGTACGGTTCATTTTTATTTCTCCGCGGTACAATAAATATGTACCACGGTTGATATTAATTTGTAACTGAGCGAAATCAAACATTCCATCGCAAAAACAGACGTCCCTCGCAGAGCCTTCTTCCAGCCCCTCGCCCAAACTCGCCTGCCGTGAGGGAGCCCCCCCTCCCCTACACCACGGTGGAATTCCGCACGATTGTTGCACGGCGTTACGCTGCGCCGCCAGTACACCGTTTTCTTTTCCATGACCGCGATGTGGTGAGGAGAGGAACTCGCAGCGCAAGTGTCTCCCCTAGCTGCCCATCCTGAACGGGCAGCCCTGCTATACAGTAGAAGAAACGAGAATCAGGCTATCGGCGGTTGTCGGTTTCCCAACAGTGGAAGTCAGTTTCTGGAGGTGCTGCTTCATGGTGATTGGTTCGTGGTTGGCTACCGTGTGCGAAAATCTTGGAACGTGGGCCGGATAGACGAAGTCCCAAATAAGCTAGCACTGCGAAACGGATTGTGGTTACTCGTCTGTTTGCGAAGCGTGTCCCCGAACCCCACCGACAGATCTCGCAGCGCAGCTTCTTTCAAGCCTGCCGAGATCCAGGGTGATGGGGGCAGGGCAGTTCTTCCCCACAGTTCTTTCAAGCCCTCCGAAATCTCCCACAGTTCTTCCCCCTTCGAGATCACGCATACACACAATGCTCGTTTGACTAACCCAAGGTCGCCTTGTGAAGGGGGCTTTTAATGATTCTAGGCATTTCGCAAATTTCGTCAACGTCGCACCTAGCAAAAAAGAACTTATAAAAAAATGTAACTCCTCGTGGACAGTTTGACTTCGGTCTCTTCTGTTTGACTTCGGTTTCCGTGGTTCGTATTGGTTCACAACCACTGCAACTTGCTAGAGGGGCTTGTAATGTATGGCTGGTAAAAAAAACACGGGTGCAAACTTTTCATCCGGAGAAGGGCAAATTCGCGCGCAGGGGTTGAGCATCGTGTGTACTCCAGACTCATTTACAGACGAAAGGAATTTTCTCGACATTCCTTACCGCGACCAGCAACATCGCGTACAACAGCAGCTGTTGTTCGCCCGTTACTGCTAACGGGGCTTCGCCAATTTCGCGCGCACTGTTTCACCAAACCTCGCACTGCTGGCCCAACCGAGTCAGCCTATGCTTCGGGACTAGCCTGAATCTCGCTGCCAGCGTAGCACTAGCTGCTGAGAATAGGTGATTATGGGAGAGCCAAGGTGCGGAGTTGTACGATTGGAACGAAAGGTGCAAGTTTTTTTTGTACGGACTTGTTTGTGACCGAATACTGGGAATCAGGAACTATATCTCGATATGCAGTAACTGGAGGAAAAAAAATGATTAATTGATAGATTACAACAGATATTGCATGAACCTTATAAGAAACATAGTGACGTGTGCGATAACGTTCTACGAGAACGTTGTCCATGAAGAACGTTGTTCAAGGAGAACATGCAAGCACCTACTCTAGTATGCGGTTCCAGGTTGGCACCGCCAGGTGAAAATACCATCAGGTGAAAACAACGTCAGGTCTATCTTCTACCTGCCCATGAGTAGTTACGCAGGTGCTCGCAATAGACAGTTGCACATACGCGTTCTCTGGTCCAATGTCGAAATGTGCATACCGAAGCGTACAGATTGGAGTGTACTTGGCGAATTCCGCAATACAGGTAAAACCAGTATGCGGTATGTGAAGTCTCACTACTCCGCATAGGGCTGTTACCGTTTGCATGTTTCGTATGTAAGTATTCGCTTATGCCTTCGCTCATACTTTGTACTCGTTTGACACCCTAGTGCAATCCTCGCTACTTTGTTCCATTGCACCCGTAACACTTGGTTATCAGAGCCACTTTCCTTTTCGGACCGCGCATCTCCGCACCCCAGGAAGTCAACTTTGTTTTTTCACTCGAAGGGACCCACGCCCCTTAGCCCCTAGGAGCCGCTGTCCTCGCGCTCTCTCGTAAACTCGTGCAGCCACGACTGCGCCTAGAACTAGGCTGAGCCGACGCCCTTCGACATGGATGAGCACATTGACGTCACGAGCCTCACGCAGGATCGTCAGGATGCAGTGCTGCAGCAACTCTGCAAAAGCTTTGAAGAAATCGCAGCGCTGACGGCAGAACGCACATCCCTGCAAAATGACGTCGCACGAGCACAACAAATACAAACGCAAGCACAAGGCACACCGGGACACCCCGCACAACAAGCATCACAGCATAAAATTGCGCGGCCAGTGATGGCGTCGTCCGCAACGACGGAAATGACGACCACGGTGCGACACACCCCGAAGCAACGAATGCAACCAGAAGTCAACCCCATGTCACGATTTCGGTGCCGACCGGCGAGTCAACACTAAAGTCGCCGATGCTGCTGAAGCCGCACCGTCCACCATGCTTTGACTCGAGTCAATGGGGTGGTCCTGCCGTTCAGGCGTGGTTGTTCACGATGAACGTTTTCTTCGACACCAACTACGTATCGCAGGATACGGCGAAGATTCGCGACGCCGTGTCGCTACTACGGGGACCCGCCATGGATTGGTGGCGTGTCATCGTCATGAAGCCGATGGACTACGCGACTCTACCGACACGGGAAGGACAAACCGGACCCTGGACGTCGTCGTATTTCGTGGAGGTGCCCAAATATCGCACGTGGGACCCCGTGGTGCGCAGGACCTCGCGCCCGATCTGAGCCATTTGCGGCTTCGATCGCAGCGCATCAGAAGCTCTGCACTTGGCGCTAGCTCGGTTTCGTCCAGGACTACAACAGCGGGTTCTTGGCGCTGTGTGAGCAGGTGGACTACCTGCATGAAAGCGATCGCATCTACTGCTACATCAGCGGCATGAAGCAAGAAATCGCGCAGGTAATCCAACTCCACGACATCACCGATTTTCAAGAGATTCTTGCTATGGCGGAGAAGCTCGACTTTTTCCGCCAACCGAGACCGGGGTCCTACAGAAGTAGCAGCAACTGGGGACATCGGTCTCGTGGAAAGAACGAAGGCGCCACGATATGAGACGTCACCGCGAATGTCGCGGAAAACACTAAGGGAAAGGGGAAAGCTGAGCAGCAGAAACAGACCAAGTAGTAGGGAAACACTGGGAGTCAGTAGCAGACGGGCCCGCTACTGACAGGTCACGCCGCTCGCCCGACCCAACCGACCCTCATCGAGTGATTGTGCCGGTTCACGCAAACGACCACATCCGGCTGAATAAGGAGGGTACCGCGGTAGGTAACCCCATACTGCTTAGTGGGAAGATCGGGACGGAATTAGTTAAAATCTTCAAAGACGGGGGGGGCAGCCACAGCCTCATCAACACTGCCACAGCACGGAAAATGAAACTGCGACTGGACAGATGTTTACCTAAGATCGATGTAAGACTGGTTGACGGCACGCCATTGGCGATACGGGAACGCGTGGACCGAGTCCGGATTCGATGCGGGGGTAACTTTACGTCTAGCCAGGAAATGCTTGCGACAACCCTCGACGGAACCGACATTTTACTCGGCCGTGATTGGCTGCGACGACACAACCCGCGAATCGACTGGACGACGGGTGACTGCACCGTGCGAGCGAACGGTAACAACATCGCCTTACCTCACTGGGGCTCGACTGAGTCTTCGTCGGTACGTGTCAACGCGATCACGATGAAACGCGCCGTAGCGGCAGAAGCTGACGTGTATGCGGTTGACATTTGGGAAGCCAAGGCAGCAGACAATGGGAGTGATTTGCAGAAGCTGCTAGCCGACGTACCGGATGACTTGGCAGCGCTACCGAAGTAGTACAGTGGGATTTTCGGATGATCTGCCGATAGGAGTACCACCTCAGCAACCGCACGACCACAGGAAAGAGTTACAACCGGGGGGCACAGCTGACAGTACACCGACAGTTCCGATTTACCCAACCCAAACTGGACGAGCTACGGAATCAGCTGGATTACCTGCTCGAAAAAGAGTTCATTCGCCCAAGCTTGTCACCCTTCGCAGTATCGATACCGTGAGAGTACAACGGCTTTGCTAAGCTTACTTGCTTGATTATGCTATATTATGCATTATCTAACTTAGCTTTATTTTGTTTTGCTTGCTTTTGCTTGATTTTCTAAGTTCGTTGTTTTTACAATGGTTATTATAGTTATAGGCACCGAGCTAGGTTTAGTGCACCAAATTCTAGACTTTTCGGTTGCCACCAAATTGCCTTCTACCGAATTCGGGAAGGACCCGTTCGGGACGCTTTGCGACTCGCGGAACCTTCTAGTAACACCCGGGTTACTGCCTTTGTGTCGAGCCTATATATAGCCTTGCCTTGTACCCAGGTGAATCATTCAATAGATTTATCTTTCCTGAACCAGATCCTCACAGATACTGTTCACACCGAAAAAGGACGGGATATTTTGCATGTGCATAGACTACCCCGCAATGAACCGAGTTACCATCAAACCCCGTTACCCCATACCACGAGCCGACGATCAGATCGACCAACTGCGCACAGCCCGGGTTCTCTCGAAAATCGACCTTCGAGGAGGTTACCACCAGATCCACGTCAACCCACCTGACTGCCTGAAAACAACTTTCCGAACACGCTACGGATCCTTCAAATACACCGTCATGCCACTTGGACTGACCAACGCCCTCGCTACATTTCAAATGACCATGAACGAATCCTTCCGCCCGCTTTTAGATAAGTGCGTCATCGTGTACTTAGACGACATACTGATTTACAGCCCAGACACAACACAGCACCAACAGGACATCGAAGCAGTTTTTAAAATACTAAGTGAGAACCGCCCACTAATGAAAGCCTCTTAGTGTGAGTTTTTACAGGATATACTGGAGTTTTTAGGGCACATTATTTCAGCCGACGGATTGGAAATAGACCCGAAGAAGATCGCGACAATTCAAGCATGGCACCTGCCGACAAATTTGACAGAGCTACAGAGTTTTTTGGGGCTTGTCAACTACATGCGCCGGTTCGTCCCCAACATGATGAAGTTTACTGCTCCATTGACCGGCCTGTTGAGGAAGTGGGTTGAGTACACGTGGGGGGGGAAAGAGCAAGCTGCCTTCTCGGCCCTCAAGAAAATTTTGTGCTCGCCGCCTGTGCTGCACATCACAAATCCGCACCGTCCGTTCGAGCTCGTCACCGACGCAAGTGACATCGCCGTGGGAGTAGTACGGTTGCAGGACTCTGGGAACGGCCTTCAGCCAATCGTGTACGAGTCCCGCAAACTTCACCCGCCCGAACGCAACTACCCGATACACGACCGTGAAATGCTGGCGATCGTGCACGCGTTCAAAGTGTGGTGATGCTACCTCACAGGAGCAGACGTGACAGTACGGACAGATCACCGCCCACTACAGTACCTCCGCGCCCAACCAAATCTCAATCCGCGACAGATCCGCTGGTTGGACTATCTGAAGTCCAAATTCTACTACACCGTCACGTACAAAAAAGGCGCATCAAATACCGCCCGCCCTACCGCCCAACTTCACGCCATCCTACTCACCCAGACCTACCCACTGTTAACAGGCCTATTCACCCTCTGATATCTTACCGACCCATTTTTCACGACTGGAAATTGACAGCAACTCGCAGAAGCAAAGGCAGTCTATAATGTAAAAACAGGCACCAACCGCATCTGGGTACCCGCGTACTCACTACTGAGGGAACTGCTAATGTAGGAGGCACACGACGGGGTTACCTCGGGTCACTTAAGGGTAGAAAAAACGCGACAGCAACTGCAACGGTACTACTACTGGCCGGAGCTGTTGACCGACGTACAGCACCACGTGAGCTCTGTCCTACGTGTCAGGTGATGAAGAGCTCGCGAAAAAGAAAGGCGGCTCAGTTGCAGCCGATTCCACTGCCTGAGCGCGCCTCACAGCAGGTTACCATAGATTTCGTCACAGGGTTACCTTCAAACCTTGGGGTTAACGACGCGGTTATGGTCGTCGTTGACAGACTGACGAAAATGGCTCACTTCGCTGCGTGCTGGAAATCGATCTCAGCCGAAGAAACCGCTCGCCTATTCATCGCAACCGTCGTTCGACTGCATGGGATACGAGCCCCGATAATTAGCGACCGTGATACGAAGTTTACCAGCAACTTCTAGAAGAACCTTTGCGAGCAGTTCGGGACTAGGCTACAGTTCAGCTCGTCGTACCACCTCGAGACCGATGGTCAAACGGAGCGGACCAATCAGACCATGTAGCAGCTGATCCGCGCCGCGTGCGACGACCCGACAACAGGGGAGCAGCAGTTGCCGCTGATCGAGTTTGCAAACAACAACGTTACGTCGGCGACGACGTAGCAGTCCCCGTTCTACCTGAACTACGGGCAAAACCCAACAGTGCCCATGATGCCGAGTCCAGACAGCCCCACGCCACGCGCACAGCAATTCGCCGAGATTCTGTAGGCTGCCCGCACCAGAGCCGCAGAAGCAATTGAAAAAACCAACGTCATCGCAAAAAGAAACGCCTACCGCCACCACCGCCCAGTCACGTACCAGTCAAGGGATTATGTACTGCTCGAGACACAGAACTTAAGACTGCCCGTCGTACCGAAATTACAACCACGCTACTTTGGACCATTCCTAATCAGCCACATGATCACCCCAGTTACCGCCCATTTACTGTTGCCGACAGACTGGTACATCAGCCCATCGTTCCACGTTAGTCTGCTTCGCCCTTACATCCCAACCACAAGCCAACTGCCTCGTCACCGCCCGCCAACCATGACTCGCCCTCCATCGGAGCCAATCATTGAACCCGTGAAAATCCTGAGCCATCGAATTAGACACCCCGTAGGCATTAAGAAAATTGAGTTCCTCGTTCGCTGGAAGGACCGCACGCCAACTGAGGATAGCTGGGTGCAGCTGGCCAGCATCGAAAACCACCCTGCCCTGCTAGTGTACCTGAGGAGCCGAGGTTTCCGCGATATAGATGTTGAAAGTAAAGGGAAAAAAGGTGTGATGACTATCGAGAGAGTTGGGTACAAATAACAAAACCTAAACCCTACATAAGCCACCCCACTAAAGCCTACATATCATTAAAACAAAGACATATAGTTTGACACACCCCCATAGGCAAAGTGGGGGAGAATAAGGGGTCACAAGACCTGTCAAGAAAAGCAAAGAAAGCTCGGGGTGGATCACAACGTCACCACACACACCGAGCACAAGCAGAGGACCACAAGGCCAGTTCACATGCAGAGCTATACATGCAACAACAGCAGTACAGTGATCACTACCTATCAAGAGTAAGCATGCAGATATATATATGTAGATCACAGTACAAGCAAAGCCTATAGCAGGTGAGGAAACGTAGGCACAAGACCTAACAAAGTACAAAAGCGCTGATGATCACCAGACGGAAATGCCTTTGGTGAATATATCAGCAGTGTTGGCCCGAATGGCCACGTGAGCAAGACGAAGCTGACCACGCTGTTGCAACTCTCGAGCCAGAAAGTAACGCAGAGCGATGTGCTTCGTTCTGTGCTCCAGTCTGTGCTCCTGATACAAGGTAATGGCAATGTCTACGTACAGAATTGGAGGAGAACGAGGCCGCTCTCCCAAGTCAGTCAGCAGGTAGGTGAGCCAGCGTAACTCCTGTGCAGCCATGGCTGTGGCATAGATCTCAGCCTCACAACTGGAGCTGAGAACAGAAGACGGGCGTGTAGACCGCCGGGAAACAGAGCCGGAGCCAAGGCTGAATGTGTAACCCTGTGACGACCGCTGTGTAGCCAGGTCGTCAACCCAAGACGCGTCAGAGTGTCCAGTGAGGACAACGTCACCCCGTCCTCCAAGAACGAGCCCCATGCCCGATGTACTACACAAGTAGCGCAGTACCCTCTTAGCAGCATCCATGTGCACCTTTCTGTGCCTACCAGGAGCCACGTAGCAAGCCAAAATGCCAAGAGGGTACGCAAGGTCAGGTCGAGTGCAGGTCATCAGGTACATGAGGCAGCCCACTAGCTCTGGGTACGGACCACTCGGCTCTACGGACTCGTCCGAAGGTGGAGCTAAGAGCAAGTGGCCTGTAGCCAGAAGAGTGGCCTGTGCCGAGGACCAGGTGAAGCCGAAGCGCTGAAGGACCTGCTGCACCATGTGTGACTGAGTCAGTATGATGGTGCGGCGTGCTCTGTCCCGGGTGATCTGCAAGCCAAGGTAACTGCGCAGCTCACCCAGGTCTGTGCACGTCTGTCCCTTCTGCAGCTCCGCCTTCACCAGGGCGAGAGCCTCAGTGTCAGCAGTGGCAAAGACCAAGTCGTCGACGTACACGAGGATGTAGAACGGCGGCAGCGAAGTGTCGGTGCGCAGAAACAGCGACGGGTCAGTAGTGGAAGGGGCGAACCCAAGAGCCGCATGCGTCGTCCTCAGTGTGTCGTCCCACTCACGAGGCGCCTGCCGGAGACCATAGACCGGCCGACGGAGGCTCCACTGGGTACCAAGAGGGAACGACCCAGTGAAGCCAGGTGGGCGGCGCAGCCAGATCTCCTCGTGCAGACTGCCCTGTAAGAACGATGTGCTGAAGTCGAGAGAGTGAAGCTCGTAGTCACGCTGAGCCGCGACGTGCAGCAGCACCCGAAGAGTGGTCATCTTCAGGGTGGGGGAGAAGCTCTGGAAGAAGTCAACTCCCTGTCGCTGACTGAAGCCTCGTGCAACGTAATGAGCCTTGAAGACAGGCGGAGAACCCGGCGGAGAACCCGGCGGAGAACCCGGCGGCCGCTTCACCCTGAAAATCGACATGCCATCGACGATGTTCGCCCCAGGAGGGGGAACTTCATCGACGTAAGTGCCTGTGGACTTCCAGGATGCCATCTTTGCGTCCATGGCTGTCTGCCACTGAGAGGAGTACTCACCCGCGATTGCCTCAGCGTAAGAGCGTGGGGTCGGGATGTCTGGAGCATCCGGGTCTCCCTCAGGGGCAAGAAGCATGGCCACGAGATGAGGTACAGCAGCCACAAGACACTCAAAGTCCTCCTGCCTGTCCTCAAGGACGTCAGTGCCAAGAGCACACTCACCCCCGACGGACGGAGGACAGACAGACTCAGACTCAGCAACAAGACTAGCAGCGTAGTCTAGACGACACGCAGTAGCAAAGTCAACAAGCTCAGCGACTAAAGCAGACGCATCAGTGGACTCAAACGAAGGGTCAGTGACAACAATGGCAAGTAGACGCGTGATAGTAGGGGAAGAAACACGAGCGCGGTCAGACTCAGGGTCTGGAATGTCAGGCAGGGAAGTCGCAGGAGGGGACGGTAGGGGAACATGCTGCAGAGCAGAGGAAGGACGCTGGGCCATGAGGTGCGTGCCAGGGACAGCCAGCGGACGCTTACGAGGAATACGACGACCACGACGACCAGTGCGGACAGTGCTCAGCAAGACCTCCTGTCTGCTCAGTGTATGGAGAAGGAGCAGGGAGAGGGGAGCCAGGCTGTAATGGAAGACCAGTAGAAGACGGGAGGCTAAGAACCTGGTGAAGCACAGAGTCAGGCGGTGGTAGACGGCGGATCGAAGAACAGTCGCAGCTGTGCAGTGCCACCAGCACTAGTAGCTCCAGCAGTAGTAGCTCCAGCACCTCTAGCAGCTCCAGAACCTCCAGCTCCAGCGCCTCCAGCGCGAGCACCGCCAGCAGCTCCAGAACATTCAGCGCGAGCACCTCCAGTACCAGCACCTCCAGCAGCTCCAGAACCTCCAGCGACAGCACCTCCAGTACCAGCACCTCCAGCAGCTCCAGAACCTCCAGCGCCAGCATCTCCAGTACCAGCACCAGCATCTCCAGTACCAGCACCTCCAGCAGCTCCAGAACCTCCAGCGCCAGCACCTCCAGTACCAGCACCTCCAGCAGCTCCAGAACCTCCAGCGCCCGCACCTCCAGTACCAGCACCTTCAGACTCCAAGGAGACTGCCCCCAGGCGCAGCACCCCCAGACTCCAATACCCCCAGGCTCAGCACCCTCAGACTCCTCACGCCCAGGCTCAGCACCCCCAGGCTCTGCACCCCCAGGCTCAGCACCCCCAAAAGCAGCACCCCGAGCAGGACCACCCCCAGTAGGACCTGAGTCACCAGTGACCTCAACCGGCTGAGTCAAGGGAGCAGGGTCTACCTGAGACACACTTGAAGGAGCAGGACCTGGAGCGGGGAGGGGGTCTACCTGGGGAGGACTTGGAGCAAGAAAGAGCGGCGGGGGGGAGAGAGGGGCAGTGTGGTAGGGAAAGAGACGGTAAAAGGGGACCGACTCATCAAAGGTGATGTCCTGAGACGCAAAGACACGGCGCGAGGTGGGGTCGTAAAACTGCCAGCCAGGCGCGTCAGGGACAAAGCCAAGGAAGACGCAGGGAATGGCGCGAGGGGAGAGCTTGTCCGCAGTGGTATCGCGGACAAAGGCACAAGCACCCCAGACCCAGAAACGCGACGCATCGCCAACCTCCCCCGTCCAACGTAGTGTGGGCAAAGTCTCTGGCACGGAGACACGGGGCCAGAGGTTGAGCTGATGCACGGCGTACCGGACCGCAAACGGCCACAGAAGATGGGGGGCAGCTGCATGGATCATGGAGGTACGAGCGACCTCCATGACTAAGCCAATGCGGCGCTCAGCAACCCCATTTTGCTGCGGAGAGGCCGGAAGCGTGAACGACTGGCGGATGCCGTGCTCCTCACAGTAGGCTCGCAAGAGGTCGGAGGTGAACTCACCACCTCTGTTAGAGTGCAGACGCAGGACAGGAAAGTCCGAGTGGAACAGCTGGCGGAGCTGGAGACGAACAGCGCAGATCCAGGGGATCAAAACAGCAGGGACTTCCCCCTTGCGCTGCAAGAGGAAGACAGTGGTGTAACGCGTGTAGTCGTCGACTACCAGCAGGAATTACCGCTCGCGGCCCTGCCCCTGGACGCGGGCTGGGCCCCACACGTCCAGGTGGAGAGTCTGCAGGGGAGCCTCTGTGGGAGGGAACGAGGAGGAGTGAGGAGCGACGCGCTGCCGCCGCTCGACGCAAGGAATGCAGGGCCCCGCAGGCGAGGGAGGGAGGGAGGGCAGAGACCTGGGAAGACCAGAGACCAGGTAATGAGAATGCATGCCACGAAGGCGGGGCAGGGAGGGGTGACCAAGGCGGTGGTGCCAAAGGAGAGTGTGGTGCGACAGGCGGCCACACTCACACTGGGTAGTTACCTGAGCGGAAGCGTATAGCTGAGGAGACAAAGGGGTGTAGCGCGATGCAGTGGTGAGGGTGTACAGACTGGACCCAGGCGCACGTGTGAACGTGGCCAGGTGGCGGCCAGTCCAAGAGCACGTTCAGATCGCGAGACGCTGTCCTCCAGGAGTAAAGGTGTCAACCCAATGATCCTGAAGGACGGCGTTGCTCACCATGTTCGTAGAGAACGAGGGGAGCTGGAGACCAGACAGCTCACCAGACGGGACCGTCGGACACGGAAGCACAGTAGTGGACCGTGCTAGCACTGGGCCCCCAGAGGGGTCAGCCAGTGAGACAGGGACAGGTGCAGGGAGGGGAGTGACTGTTGTACTGTCGCAAAAGAAACAGCGGGAAGCACCAGAGTCAAGTGTAAAGGTGTGCAAGGCCTGAGCGGACGCAGTACCAGGGAGAGCAGACTCACTAGCACCTAGAGCTGCAGTCTCTATACCTGGATCAGGCGGCATACACAAGTAGCAGTCACCCTCAGCACTAACAGTCAATGCATACATGGCAGCAATAATTGCATCATAGTCAAGATCAAAGATAGGAACATCACGCCTAAGCAGGTCTGCCCAGTAGGGAAGCTCAGTAGCATCAGGAAACTGGGTACGCGACACGTCGTCAAGCCTAGAGAAGCAGCGGTACTCGGTGTGAAACTTGTTGCACGTCTGACCAGCGCGTTCACCAGTGCGAATGCGGTAAGGGCAGCGACCACTACCCCCAGACGTCCCACGCTGAGCGTACCACTCACGAAGCTGCTGGGGCGTGTGGGGCTCGGGCTGACGCTGCTGCTGCTGGCGCTGGCCACTGCCAGCACCTCCCCGCTGACCAGCTCCACCACGGCCGCTGGTACCACCGCTCCCACCGCCGCTGCTGCCGGCACTGCTACCGCTCCTACCCCAACCTCCTCCACCACCACCATGCGCACCGCTGCTGCCACTGCTGCCACCGACCCCTCCACCCCCGCCACCACCCCCACCACCACCACCCCCACCGCCGCCTCTTCCACCACCACCTCCCCCGCTGCCAGTGCCGCCACCCTTGCCTCCCTTGCCCTTGCTGCTCCGGCGCTTCCCAGCAGAAGTAGAAGCGGCACCGACCTCCTCATCACCAAGGAGGTCAACAGTAGCAGCAGAGGCGTGGGAGGGGACAAGGGGGGAGGGGGCACACCGCTCAAAGAGGGGAGTGCGGGGAGTGCCACGAGCAGCACCGACAGCTACGATGTTGGACTCAGCTGCAAGCAAGTGCTTCTCGAGGTCGTCGACTGTGAGGTCGGTGGGGGGAAGGGCTAGAAAGCGGTCCCTGACGACACGAAGAGAGTCAGGGAGTCGGGTGACAATGAAGTAGAGCGTGATGTACATCGGGGGAGGGTTCTTGTCTAAGAACTCGGTCGGGAGGGCGGCGCGGTAACGAGCGTCACTAGCGCGGAGATGAGTGATAAGGTCCTCAGCTGTGGCAAAGGAGGAGAGCTCAGGAAAAAGGTAGGGTAGGATAAGGCGGCTGAGGGCAGCAGTGGCAGGAGAAGAGTAGCGAGCGATGACAGCAGCGTACAGTGCTTTAGCGGTTTTGTGCTGGCCAAAGTGGGTGCGCTCGGCTAGAGGCAAGTGGTTGCGAATGGCTAGGCGTGCAGTAGCGTCACGGGTAAGCCACTGTGAGTGAGCGACGCTGTCAGCTGTGTCTGGAGCGACTGAGGAACCTTTAGCTAAGTCAAAGAGCGAAACACCGTCCTTGGCATCAATCATAAGATACAGTTGAAGATCTTATAGCCAAGCATCGAACTCGACTGGGCGACCTTCAGGGTCGAACGACAGTAAGCTAATAGAAGCCATGGTCAGTGCAGTACGTGTGAAGAAATGAGGAATGAATGAACTAGCAAGCAGGTGGGTACAAGTAGGAAAACCTAAAAGTGTTGTACCCCATATGGTCTACCCCACTACAGCCTACACAGACTATAGCATATGAGTTTGACACACCCCCATAGGCAAAGTGGGGGAGAACAAGAGGTCACAAGACCAGTCAAGCAAAGCAAAGCAAGCTCAGGGTGGATCACAGCGTCACCACACATTCCGAGCACAAGTTCAAGGCCACAAGGCCAGTTCACATGCAAGATCATATATAAAGGTAAACAAGCAAGTTCAGGTATAGAAAGATCACAGTACAAGCAAGGTCAACAAGTGAGCAAGTGAGGCCAAGTAGGCACAAGACCTAGCATCGTACAGAAGCGCTGATGATCACAAGGCGGAAGTGCCTTGGTGAAGATATCAGCAGTGTTGGCCTCAGAGGCCACGTAAGCAAGGCGCAGCTGACCACGCTGCTGCAGCTCACGAGCAAGGAAGTAGCGAAGAGCAATGTGCTTCGTTCTGTGCTCCAGTCTGTGCTCCCGACACAAGGCCAGCATGGCCTTGTTGTCTACGTACAGAACTGGAGGAGAACGAGGCGGCGCTCCTAGGTCAGTCAGCAGGTAGGTGAGCCAGCGTAGCTCCTGTGCAGCCATGGCCCCCGCGTAGATATCAGCCTCACAGCTGGAGCCGAGAACAGAAGACGAGCGGGTAGACCGCCACGAAACAGAGCCGGAACCAAGGCTGAAGGTGTAACCCTGTGACGACCGCTGCGTAGCCTGGTCGTCAGCCCAAGAAGCGTCTGCGTGACCTGTGAGGACCACTGGACGTCGCCCTCCAAGCACTAGCCCCATGCCCGACGTACTGCACAAGTAGCGCAACACCCTCTTCGCTGCAGCCATGTGCTCTGGTCGGTGTCTCCCAGGAGCAACATAGCGTGCCAAGATGCTAAGAGGGTATGCAAGGTCAGGTCGTGTGCAGGTCATCAGGTACATGAGGCAGCCAACAAGCTCTGGGTATGGGCCACTCGGCTCTACGCACTCATCCGAAGGCAGAGCTGAGAGCGAGTGGCGAGTAGACAGAGGAGTGGCCTGAGGCGAGGAGTACGTGAAGTCGAAGCGCTGAAGGACCTGCTGCACCATGTGTGACTGAGTCAGGGTAATGGTGCGCTGTGCTCTGTCCCGGGTGATCTGCAAGCCAAGGTAGCTGCGCAGTTCACCCAGGTCTGTGCACGTGTGTCTCTTCTGCAGCTCGGACTTCACGTGGGCGAGTCCAGCAGTGTCAGCAGTGGCAAAGACCAAGTCGTCGACGTACACGAGGATGTAGAACGGCGGCAAAGAGGTGTCGGTGCGCAGAAACAGCGACGGGTCGGCAGTAGAAGGAGCAAACCCAAGAGCCGCAAGTGTAGTCCTCAGTGTGTCGTGCCACTCACGGGGCGCCTGGCGGAGACCGTAGACTGGCCGCCGGAGGCTCCACTGGGTACCACGGGGAAACGACCCAGTGAAGCCAGGTGGGCGGCGCAGCCAGATCTCCTCGTGCAGGCTGCCCTGCAAGAAAGCTGTGCTGAAGTCAAGAGAGTGAAGCTCGTAGTCGCGCTGAGCGGCTACGTGCAGCAGCACCCGAAGAGTGGTCATCTTCGGGGTGGGAGAGAAGGTCTGAAAGTAGTCAACTCCCTGCCGCTGACTGAAGCCTCGAGCCACGTAACGCGCCTTGAAGACAGGCGGAGAACCCGGCGGCCGCTTCACCCTGAAAATCCACATGCCACTGACGATGTTCGCCCCAGGTGGGGGAACCTCGTCGACGTAGGTGCCTGTGGACTTCCATGAAGCCATCTCTGCGTCCATGGCTGGCTGCCACTGTGAGGAGTAGGGACCCTCGATCGCCTCAGCGTACGATCGAGGAGTCGGGATGTCTGGTGCATCCGGGTCTCCCTCAGGGGCAATCAGCGTGGACACGAGATGAGGCAAAGCAGCAGCAAAACACTGGAACTCCTCCTGCCTGTCCTCAAGGACGTCCGTGCTAAGAGCACACTCACCCCCGACGGACGGAGGACAGACAGACTCAGACTCAGCAACAAGACTAGCAGCGTAGTCTAGACGACAGCGAGCAGCAAAGTCGACAAGCTCAGCAACTAAGGCAGACGCAGCAGTGGACTCAAAAGAAGGGTCAGTGACAACAGTAGCCAGGAGACGCGTGACAGTAGGACTGGCAGCACGAAGAGAGTCAGACTCCGGGTCAGCAAGAGTAGGAAGAGAGGACTCTGGAGGAGACGGCAACGGGACACGCAGAGGAGCAGTGGAAGGACGCAGTGCCATCTGGTGAGTGCCTGGGACCGCAGGAGGACGCGGACGCGGAACACGACTACTAGTGCGAGCAGCACGAACAGGCGACGCAGGACGAGACGCAGGCTCACGACGCTCAGCAAGACCTCCAGTAGGACCAGTGTAGGGAGAAGGAGCAGGCAGAGGGGAGGTGGGCTGTAACTGTGACCGCGACTGGACAGGCTGTGGACACTCTAAGGGAGGAGCAGGACCAGTAGAGGGCGGGAG